AGTTTATATATGCAAGGTCCAGCACTGTAAAGCAGAAGTTAAATAAGTAATAAAGTGTATTTGTATGTATTTGTGTAAACTGCTTAGCAAAAGTTATGCTGTAATAAATTAAAAGTTATGGACACATTAAATCAGGAAGCATACATGTAAATTACTGTATACTTCCTGTTTTAATGTGACGGTTTAACAGTTTGTAAACAGGTTGAGGAATATAAATATATATAATGATTATGTAGGTATGAACAGACACACACAGACAGATATTGATTTAATGGTTTATATTTTCCTGCTACTGTCTGGATTAAGCTAATTAGAAGCTAACATGAAGATTATGAGTTTTCCTTTCATTAAACCATTGAAAGCTAAATATGGAAAACAGAATGTAAGCTTTAGTTTAACCATGTGGCATGACTTAATGTCTCTCTACACGTTACATTTTATTTTTCTATTACAGTCAGAATTCTGCTGCTGGGGATAAAGGACGACAAAACAACAAAACTTGGAGACTTTATCACCGGAAAAGAACAACACAGGTCAAACTTTAAAGCAAAGCTTTCCTCAGCCAAACAAGTGGTGCAGAGTGGAGAATGGAGAGGAAAGTCTCTAACAGTTGTGAAAACTCCAGAAGTTTTCAGTGTTTCTTTGGAGAAGTGGAGAGAAGAGATGAAGAAGGCTGTGAGTCTCTGTCCTCCTGGACCAAATGTTGTGCTGCTGTTAGTGAAACCTTCTGATTTCACTGAAGAGAACAGACTAACACTGAAGTTCATCCTGAGTTTGTTTGGTCAAGATGCTTTCAAACACTCAGTGGTCATCAGCACACATAAGGAGGATAAAACAGATGTCTCTTTTAGAAGACTCATTAAAGACTGTGGAGAACGACACTACAGTATGGCTGACAACAACCGTGATGTATTAATGCAAAAGATTGAGAAAACTGTTTTTGAAAACAAAGGAACCTTTCTCACTGTCATTGAGGATTCAGTCGCCCCAAAGTCTGGTCTTATGAAAACAGCTTTGAACCTGGTTCTGTGTGGAAGGAGAGGAGCAGGGAAAACTTCAGCAGCTGAGGCCATTTTAGGTCAGACAGATCTTCATTCAGTCTCCAGCTCATCAGAGTGTGTTAAACATCAGGGAGAGGTGTGTGGACATTGGGTTTCCCTGGTGGAGCTTCCTGCCCTGTATGGAAAACCTCAGGAGGAGGTGATGAGGGAATCACTCAGGTGTGTCTCTCTCTGTGATCCTGAGGGCGTCCATGCCTTCATCCTGGTTCTACCTGTGGGTCCACTCACTGATGAAGACAAAGGAGAGTTGGAGACCATCAAGAACACATTTGGGAGTCGATTCAATGACATCACTGTGTTGCTGTTCACTGTTGAGTCAGATCCCTCAGCTCCAGCTGTTGTTAACTTTGTAAATGAAACCAAGTCCATCCAGGAGCTTCTTCAGAGCTGTGGAGGAAGATCTTTGGTTCTAAACATCAAGGACAAGCAGCAGATCCCAGAGCTGCTGGACATGGTGGAAAAGATGCACAAAGATAAATCCAAATCATTCATCTTCACAACACAAACATTTGCACATGCCCAAATAGAAACGATCACAACTCTACAGGCTGAGCTGAAGAACCTGAAAACAAAAGACCCAATCATCTGTAAGTACTTTTTATTTTATTTTATAAATATAAATTATACTAAATCACTTTTTAAAATAAACAACCTATTGTTAATCATACCAAAAGTCTATTAATTGTACTCTATAAATTTGTTAGCATTAAAGATAACTCTAGGTCTTCTTTTTTCACAGGTGATGATGATAAGCTGAGTCAAGAGAGTCTCAGGATTGTGCTGATAGGGAAGACTGGCAATGGGAAGAGTTCTTCAGGAAACACCATTCTGGGAGGAAAGACATTTGAAGCCAATTCATCCCAAACATCAGTCACCAAATTGTGTCAGAAAGTACAAAGTGATGTGAACGGTCGTCCGGTCACTGTGGTCGACACTCCTGGTCTGTTTGACGATAGCTTGTCTAATGAAGAGGTTCAAGAAGAGCTGATTAAATGCATCAGTCTTCTGGCTCCAGGACCACATGTCTTCCTGTTGGTGTTACAAATCGGCAGATTTAGATCAGAGGAGAAGGAGACATTACAACTCATCAAGAAAGTCTTTGGGAAGAATGCTGAAAAGTTCACCATCGTTCTTCTAACTAGAGGAGATTCATTAAAGCATGATAACAAGTCCATTGAAGAATACATTGAAGAGGAATGTGATGATTCCTTTAAGAAACTGATTGCTGACTGTGGAGGAAGATATCACGTGTTTGATAACTGTGAGGAACAAAAAAGAACACAAATCAGTGAGCTGATAACCAAGATTGAAACAATTGTGACACTAAATGGAGGCAGCTGCTACACTAATGAGATGCTGCAAGAAGCTGAAGCTGCTATAATGAAAGAAATGAAGAGACTCTTGAAGGAGAAGGAAGAAGAGATGAAGAGAGAGATGGATGAGCTTCAAAAGAAACACGAGGAAGAAATGAAAGAAAAGGAAAGAAGAATGGAAGAACAGAGGATAGAAATTGAAAAGGAGAGAAAACTGAGAGAAAAACAACTCCAAGAAAAGCAGGAGAGGATCAACAAGGAGTGTGAGGAGAGAAAGAAAGAACAGCAAAACAGAGAAGAAGAAAACAGGAAAAGAGAGCAAGAGGAAGAAATTAAGAAACAGGAATGGGAACAGAAACTCTCAGCTTTGGAGAAACAGATAAAATCTGAATCAGAATCAAAGGAAACCACAGACAAAAAGCTGGAGGAGACTAGAGAAGAGATGAGAAAGCAACAAGAGACTTGGAGAAAGAAAGAAGAGAATGGTGGACAAAACGGACACAAGAAGATGAACAGAGACAACAGGAGGAACGAGCAAAACTTAAAAAGCTCCAAGATGAATATGAAAAAGAAAGAGAGATTAATGAAAAGAAAAGAAAGGAAGAGGACAAATACAAAAGAGAACAGGAGGAGAAGGAGAGAAGTGATATGGAGGAAAACTACAAGAAACAAATGAAGGAAATGAAGAATAAGAATGAAGTGGAGGCCAGAAAACAAGCTGAAGAACTCAATGATTTCAGACAGAAATACATGAAGGACTTCAGTGCACTGATAGAGAAACACATGGAGGAAATGTGTGAGTTGAAGCGAAGACAAGAAAGACAACTGCACAAGGCAGAAGAGAGACGTGACAAAGATTACAATCTTTTACAAAACCTCTCAGAAAGCAAAGAAAAACATCTGAAAGAAGAAAGAGAGGAATTGAAGAAAAAGCACGAACAAGAAATAAATGAAATGAAACAAAAATACAAAAGCAAATGTATTATCCTCTGATGGTTCCATCAACTCTGGCTTATGACATTAGCTGATTGAACACCGTCCGTTTTAGTTTTGTGTCTAGCTGGACCAGTGTCTAAGAACGCCACAAAGACACTTCCAATAGCAACTTAGTTCTTGCTAAAGTTTATGGATGTGATGTCATGTAAAACAAACACATGATACCTGTGCCCTAATGAAAAGGACAAGTGCTCATCCAAACACTGGGACCATGACGTCCTTGGAGGAAAATGTTTAAATGCAGACGTTGCTGACGCTGTGTTCTGGCCAGGAGAAATCCGCCACCCAAGCTGATTTGACTCAGTCGGTGACTTCATCTAACATTTAACATAACTAAAATGGTGTCATCTTTTGCTGTTTTATATACTGTAGAAAATTGTAAGAGAGATGCTGCCACAAGAGGGCGCCCTGTGTATACAGTAAAACAGGCCTGTTCCTGCTAAGAAGTGATTCCTGTTTGACTTCTCAATTCAGTTTAGATATAAATCAAACACAATCTGAATCAGATTGTGTAATTAGTAATTTCAGGTTTTATGATCTTTGTATTTTAAAAAATGTTATCTTTTATTGTAAAATATGTTTTTTCGTTTCCTATAGTTGGTTATACACATTCAAGTTATTTCATTTATTCAAAAAATTAACATCAAGGATTTTAAGGAAATATTTTGGTAATTTTTTCAAGTTTACTTATTTTTGTAGAAATGTTCTGAGGTAAAACTTGTTTTGTTTTTCTTTTTTCTATGTCTGTGATAATAAAAAAAATCTGAACAAAACAATATATTTTCAGTTGTTGCCTTTATCATGGGGAAGTAATATTCTTACTATGTGATCTTACATTTAATAGAAGATATATGAATATCATCTAATCTACAGAGTGATTATCCCACAAATCAGCTGCTGCCTTTCATGATTTAGTTTTAAAGCTGACTTCTAAATTGTACTTTTTATGTCCGGTTAAAATGAATCAGTCAATAGTAGCCACGTTATAAACAAGTCTCTGAGAAACATAAAGCTCTAGCTTTAGAGACACGACATTTACAAACATGTTTTACGTTTCTGAGTGAAGGCTTTCTGCACACAAAGTCTGTTTTCTTTTATATCCAAAATTGCCACTGGTTTGAAAAAAAGGATCTCATGTTGTGTAAATCATGTTTGCACACTGACCCAGAAAGTTTTTCATCATTTTCTTTTTCAGAACAGGTTTGATTTTCTGTGTTTCTGCCTCCATCTCTTTTTGTCTCAGTGTTCAGGATCAATTATGTTTTAATGTGTGGTTACAGTAGAAGGCAGCAGTCTGTCTAACTCGACTTCTGACATCCTGAAATACACCTGGAAGTGATCAGGATAACTCTGCAGCTCTTATTAATGAGGAAACTCTCCTTGATATTGTCTTGTTTTCAGCAAAAGGATGAACCACATGTTTTTATTTTTTCCAACTGAAATGACCACAATATCATCTTCACTAACTGATGAGAACAGTGCGTTCATCCAATCAGCAACAATTCATGTCACCTGAAGGTACCTGGCTTTCCTGTTAGAGGTTAATGTCCTTCTCTGTTTTGTGATTTGTTGATGTTTTTTGTGATACAAAAAAAAATCCTCCGATTTAAAAAAAAAAATGCATGGACATGACGTCGCTGAGTACAGTCTCAGTGTCGTCACCTTTACTTGAGGACATTCACAGAGTTAATGGTAACCGTAAGCCTACAGGAAAACTCAAAATCAACAGCATAATACAGTTTTTCACAAATGCTACAGAAAGACACACTTCTTGAAACCTTCCTCCCTTTAATCAAAACTGTGAACAGAAAACCCAGTTTTGAAATACATTCACAAAACCTCTGATTCTTCTGACAGACTCAAACAATCACATGAAAGCAGTTTTTTCTGTGCCACAATCACACACTGTTTTCACATCATACACACAGCAGTCGAAATAAAAACACCACAGAGCAGACGTCACACATTACATCCAAAAAACAAACCCAGTGGTTAGGGATCGCTTCAGAAACAAAAGTTTATTATTTTTGAGACAACAGTATGGAAGCAAGTAAGAAACATTAATAAAAATAAATGATACAATTACTGAAATTGCAGTTCAGTTTTCCAAGAGAAATATTGATAAAGAAAAGCTTTTGCACACCTGGACAGGTGCATAGGAGAGATGTCGACAAACAAAATAGAAAATGACCCCCGCACTCTGTCGTCTGCATTGTACTTTATTGCTTCACTTTAGTACTCCGAACTTCAACAGGTTGATTAATCAAAACTATGGATGGAAGCTCACTGAATATTCAGTAATACACCACAACTTTTACAATTCTTTCACTAAGTTAGTGACTTATATTTATTTATATGTTAATTTCATGTCCATGCACATTTGTTGTTGTTCTTGTACTTTTGTATATTGTTTTTAATCCTTATATTTGGTATTTTTGTATTATATTTTTAAAATCATTTTATACTGAGCTTGCACCGTGGTTCGGAGAGAAACCTTTTTTTGATCTTTCTGTGTGTCCAGCACGTATGGAAAAATTGACAATAAAGATGACTTTGACTTTTTGCGCTGAAATGGAGACAAATTACAGAAAAAAGAAACAATGGACCATCTTACCTCCATTTAGTAGAGGTGTGGTCTCTGAAGCGCTTACAGCAGACTTGTGAGAGAGGTTGATTCATCATCAGAATCAACCTGTTGAAGATCCGCAAGTGCAGACGACATTGTGCAGGAGTCTTTTTGTCTTTCTTGTATTGTTTTCAAAACTCCGTCACAGTTTACATATTGCATAGCCTATGTGTGATTTTTCATTCAGCCTCAGCATCGTGCCTTTCTGCTTGATCAGGCCGGAGGTCTTCATCCACATCACAGGCAATATTGTCTCTTCCTCCTCTAACTCTCAGATTGTATTAATTTAAGGTGTGCACTCTGAAATGGCTTATGTTGGCTTAATTACATCATCAGCAACACGTGTTCAGATTTTAGTCCTTGTGTGTAAACTGTGAAAACTGTGCTGTATTTGTGTTTAACTTCTGCCACCTGTTACCATTATGCTTCACAGGTGTACCATCATGTAGTAAGCGAGAAGTGTTTAGAGTTTTGCAAAAAAGAGTGAATGAGATTTGCAATTTGTGTCTTAGGCCTACTAGGTAAAGTTGTTTAAGGTTTTTCTGATTTCAATAAATGAGTGAACATTTGGTTCAGAGAATGGGATTTAGTGTTTAAGCAACTGTGAAAAACTAAATGTAAAATGATCCACTTATATCTTGACAACACAGAATTTACAGCAATGGTGCAGTCATTTAAATCTGAATATAACACTCTTAACCACAAATCAAATGATATAGAATAGAATAGAATGTCTTTATTGTCATTATACAATTGTACAACGAAATTATTTGGCTTCAACTGAAAGTGCACACACATACAAGCATCCACAGCTAAAAACAACAAAAGAAGAAATAACAAAAAAGGAACTCTCATTCAGGTAAGATGGGCAATGTATGGTAGGAGTTATTTACAGGTGGTAGCATAACAGAATATAAATAGATATTGCAGAAATATAAAATAAATATTGCACAGTATGTGTGGTGAGGGTGGGACGGTCAACGCATGTCCAGGTTCAGTGTGGTTATGGCTCTGGGGAAGAAGCTGTCCTTGAGTCTGTTTGTCCGTGCTCTGACAGACCTGTAGCGTCTGCCAGAGGGCAACATGTTGAACAGATGAAAGCCGGGGTGTGAGCTATCCTTTACAATGTTTTTTGCTCTGTTCAGGCAGGGGGAGTTATAAATGTCCTTAAGTGAGGAGAGTGTGCAGCCGATGATCTTTTGTGCTGTGTTTATTACTCTCTGAAGCCCCTTTCTGTCTGCTTCAGTGCAGCTGGCGTACCACACTGTGATGCAGTACAGCAGCAGGCTCTCGATGGAAGAGCGGTAGAAGTTCACCAGCAGCTTCTCATTCAGGTTGTTCTTCCTGAGCACCCTCAGGAAGTGCAGGTGCTGCTGTGCCTTCTTGGTGATCTCAGAGATGTTGGGAGTCCAGGAGAGGTCAGCAGAGATGAGGGTGCCCAGGAACTTGAAGGTTTGGACCCTCTCTACACAGACACCATTGATGTGGAGGGGAGCTGGGTCTGCGCGGTGCTTCCTGAAGTCGAAGATGATTTCCTTTCGTGGTGTTCAGTGCCAGGTTGTTCACTGAACACCATGTTGTCAACTTCAGGATCTCATCCCTGTATGCAGACTCGCCTCCCCCTGAGATTAGTCCAACCACAGTGGTATCGTCTGCGAACTTGACGATGGTGTTACCGGGGTGGGTTGGGCTACAGTCGTATGTGTAGAGGGAGTACAGTAGTGGGCTCAGCACACACCCCTGTGGAGAACGGTGCTGAGTGTGCGGGTGGAGGAGACGTGGGGGCCAAGTTTAACAGTCTGGGGACGGTTTGTGAGGAAGTCTTTTAACCATGAACAGGTGTGTGAGTGGAGGCCTAAGTCCGACAGTTTTTTAACCAGAATGTCCGGGATGATTGTGTTGAAGGCTGAGCTGTAGTCAATGAAAAGTAGCCTTACATAGCTCCCCTGGTGTTCCAGGTGGCTCAGCGCAGTGTGGAGAGCTATGGCTATGGCGTCCTCTGTGGATCTGTTCGCTCTATAAGCAAACTGGTGTGGGTCGAAGGTCTGAGGAAGGCTGGCTTTGATGTGGTGTAAAACCAGCCTCTCAAAGCACTTCATGATGACCGGTGTTAGAGCAACTGGACGGTAGTCGTTGATGATTTTTTGGGCACGGGTATGATTGTGGCTGATTTCAGGCAGGATGGAATGGTGGCTTGTGACAGGGAGAGGTTGAAGATGCAGGTGAAGACTTGTGAGAGCTGGTCTGCACAGGCTTTGAGCACCTTCCCTGGTACTCCGTCTGGGCCAGCTGCCTTCCTGGGGTTTACTGCTCTTAGCACCCGTCTCACTTCGTGCTCCTGTACAGTGAGTGTGACGGTGCTATGTACTGGTGGAGGCTGAGGTGGTGTGGCTGTGTGGAGCTCAGTTTTCTCAAACCTTGCGAAGAAGCAGTTCAGCTCCTCTGCCAGCGAGGCGTCTGAGTTCCCAGATGGGATGTTGCAGCCCCTGAAGTTTGTGATTCGTTGTATGCCTTGCCACACCTGTGGGTTGTTGTCAGAGAGGTGGTCCTCTATCCTCCTCCTGTAGGCTGACTTAGCATCCTTGATTCCTCTCTTCAGGTCGGCTCTAGAAGCACTGTTCAGCGCTCTATCACCTGACCTGAAGGCAGAGTCGCGGTTTCTAAGCAGCATTTGGACCTGGCTGGTCATCCAGGGTTTCTGGTTGGGAAAAACCCGGATGCTTTTTTCAACAGTGACATTTTCAATGCAGTACTTGATGTAGGTCAGTACTGTCTCTGTGTGTTCTGCCAGGTCCTGATGTTCAAATACATCCCACTGGGTGTTAGCAAAGCAGTCCTGTAGCTGAGAAAGTGCATCCTCAGGCCAAGTTGTATCAGTCTTTGTAAGGGGTGTAGTTCTCCTCCTGAGAGGGGTGTATGCCGG